AACATTTATTTATTTTTTCTTAATTCTCGGCGGACACAACATCATTGTTGGTATGCGGTGCTGCTGGGGATCGAACCCGGGCCGCACGCATGCTACGCGAGTGCGCTACCGCTTGAGCCACATCCCCAGCCCCTATTTTTTCTTTTCTAAGTTATTTATTTTAACAAGTTGATGAAAGAGAAAGATTTTATGCAGAACTATAGTGATAGAAACAACTTTAATAACTCCAAATCAGTGTAGGAATGAAGGAAGAAACAGCCAAGTCAAACTGTCCTGTTTTTAAAGATTAACATTGGATATTAAACATCAATAAGATATGTAGTTCATGGCCATTTTACATCTGCCACATCTAAAAGAACAAAGCTGAGGGGAAAGAAAGTTAATTTTGCCATTTGTGATAGCCTTCTGTTTACTGTAGCAATATGATCTTTGTACCTCTACCCTCCTAGACTTGTTTAAAGGCTTAAGATATCCCAAGATGAACTCACAATTTTTTACCTCTCTTATTTATCAGACTTTGTTTTCACCTCCTTGCACTCAACTTAAGCACCCACAAAGAAGCTTATTGTTGACAGTTTTCATTCCTAGATCCTGGAAAGAAAATTGACTCTATCCTAGCCATTTATATAACACCCTGGGGAGTTCATTTGCAGTAATTCATAGACTATGGTATTGGCAGGCAAGATTAAAGTAAAATAAATGAAACTGACTAAACATACACACAGAGGAATGGGTGAGTGTATATTTAACTACATTCATTTTATCTTTATACCTCTTTCCTCAGCAAAGTTAAGCTTCCAATTATAAAATAAGACAAAAAGGAGATAAACTACTTACACTCAGACAGTGGTTTGAGGATAGTCTGGCTTTTGACATCCGACTCTACAATTTCAATAGCTCTCCTATAAAAAATTTTTTTTCTAAAATTAATTTCATCAGAGCCAAACTAAATACCACACCAACCACCAAGCTCAAAAGCAGGCACATTAATTAAAAGCATGTTTTAAAAATTTAAAGCCCCCAAACAAAACTAGGTTATGTCTCAGCTAAAGGGGATTTAATTGCCTTGAAATAATTCATGGACCAGGGATTTGAGAAATTTCAACACACTACATGGTTCCTTTTAGATGCCAAGTAGGTCATCAAACATTGAGCCAGTAACATTTTGGAGGAGGAAAAATGTCATGGGTAGAAGAGAAGATATTAGTGTGGGTGACTAAGAAAACTAGCACCATCCATACACAGCAGACCTAAAAGGGGAGTCATGAGTTATATATACATAGGATATGTAAAGGCTAAATCATGCCAGCCTACAAGAATGTTGTTCATAGCTATAGTCTTCACTCAAGAAGTTTGCTGACTAGGGAAACTTTTAAATTCAGGATCATGCAATCTAGCAATAGGAAGAGCTTACTCTCCCACTGCTCTCTCCAAAGTGCTTTGCCCACAGGAAGCCATAAGCCAGACCTGGATCTTCTGCAAGGCAGTAGGGGGAGGTTGGACCAGAGGGCCAGCACAGCAAGTATCATTTTAATGGACCCAGTGTCCCTACTGGGAGGGAAGAAATTTCATCAGTCAGCACAGAGGCTTTCCCCAGCAGGAGAGGGAGGGGGATGGGAAAGGAGAAAGGTCTAGAATACTGTGGGGGACTACCAACTGGAGGGAAGAAGGGGTGCCTACAAAAGGAAAGAAGGGGAAGAAAGTCTAAAGGCAAAGATGGTTCAGGTCCATAAATAAACCTGCTTGAAACCAGCTAATGGAAAAGTAAACTGGAGTCTTTTTTAATACAAATGTAATTAACCAATCTATAATCACCACAGGGAGTGCCAGCAACATCTCATTTGTTTCTCCCTCTGTAGGTAATGGACTGATAATGTTTCAGACATTAACACGGTGGAAATCCAGAGCTCCCCACTGAGAAACAAGTCCTCTTTTCTGAGTGTAGAAAGTAGCAGAATGGAGCCTCTTAAGCCACATTCACTTGAGTTACATGAGACAATTAACAGCCATTTCTAGATTTCTTTAAATAAAAGCAGCCTACAGTGCCATAACTCACCTGCAAACATCTAGCGCTTTGCGAACATCTCCTGAAACAGCGGAGACTTTGCGGGCACAGAACTGAATTGCAGCATTGTCCAGAACCTGATCTCCAGACACCTATAGACAAGACATAGAAGACAATTTGAATCTCTCTGCAGTTTAGGTTCTAGATGTAAATATTTTCACAATTAAGACCAAACCTGACTGGCTACCCATTAGGAGTTGTCTTTTTTATTTGTAAATAAATGAAGATATTTCAGTCTTTACATATTAAGAATTTTTATAAGAATGTGGTAAAGGTTCATGAATGAGGAAAACCAAAAAGCAATTTAATCAGAACATAAATTGGCAAAAAACAAAAAAACCCCACAAAACTATTTAGTCACTTTCAGAAGAAAAATTTTTCATAGGCCCTATTTATAAAGGTCATTAAAGAAGCATTTGAGTGGCTGGGCATGGTGGCATGCATGCCTGCAATCCCAGCTACTCAGGAGGCTGAGGCAGGAGGATTGAGATTTCAAAGCTAGCCTCAGGGCTAAGGTAGTGGCTCAATATTCGGGTGCTTGACGAGCAGGTGTGAGGCCCTGGGTTCGATTCTCAGCACCACATATAAATAAATATCTGTTGACAACTTAAAAAAAAAAAGTATATTAAGAGATTTAAAAAAAGCTAGCCTCAGCAACTTAGCAAGACCCTAAGTAACTCAGAGAGACCCTGTTTCTAAATAAATAATAAAAAGGGCTGGGGATGTGGCTGAGTGGTTAAGCGCCCCTGGGTTCAACAGAACTAGGGAGTTCCAGAAAAAAAAAAAAGCATTTGAATGAATTATTTCACTTCTTTTATTTCAACACTGAAGATCCAATAAATGGAGCTATAAATGGAAATTTACACAAAAATGTTCCCACTATGGGTCCATAGGTATGCCCCATACCATTAATAAAGCAATCAAAGCAAAATAATTTAGAACTACAGTTAGGTTTCCTCAACAAAGGTCATCTGAGGAACAAAATTTGGCATAAGGGTTGGCACTCACTTGATTAAGTCGATCCTGTAAGATTGTGGCTATCTGGTTTCTGGTATAAGGTGGGAAGTTCAATAGCTGTGGCTTACATTTTTCTCTAGCTTCCAGCCTTGGCAGAATTCTGTCTGTGAGATCCAGGGTATTAGCAATACCTGAGGAGGAGATAAGAAGCATCATCAGTCAAATCATCTGAAAAGAAAAACGAAACCTCTGAAAGATAAATACTTCCACTTATAATCTAGCATTCAATTGTTGCTTCCCACCTGCCTTCCTCCCCATTCCAAAGGTAAAATATACCTATTAGATAGGATATATATATATATATAGTTAGTATAGAATGGTCTTTTCAAAGTAGGGTCAGAATTATTCACTGATAAGCAGGACCAAATATATTTTAAAAATCTATTGTTTCTAAAAATAAAGTTTTATGTCTTATTAATAGGTGGGGATGAGTGTGCTGGGGTTTGAACCCAGGCCCTGTGCATGCTAAGCACACACTCTACCTCTGAGCTACACCTCCAGCCCCAGGTCATTTTTATTTGTTTATAATAGAAAGGGTATTGCCATGTTACCCAATTGTCTCTGAACTTTTGATCCTCCTGCCTCAGCCTCCGGAGTACCTGAGACTACATATGCCATCATAGCACCAGCTCCTTAGTCATTTTTATTCAGCTTAAAAGTAATGTACCTTAGATTAAAATTACTAGCAAAAGCTGGACAGATTTATTTATTTATTGTGCAATACTAGGTATTGAACCCAGGGCCTCACACCTGCTAGGCAAGTACTCTACCACTAAACTACATGCCTAGTCCAAAGTGAATGAAGCTAAGATAGGAAGACAAGTTTGAGGCCAGTCTCAGCAATTTTGCCAGGCCATAAGCAAAAGATCCTACCTCAAAAAAAAAAAAAAAAAAAAAAAAAAAAAAAAAAAAAAAAGGGCTGGGGATATAGCTTAGTAGTAAAGCATCTTTGAGTCAATCTCCAGTATTGGAAACAAACAAACAAACAAACAAACAAACAAAAAACCCAAAGTTTCAGAACCACCATGTAACATTAACAATTAAGAACTAACCAATCAGCACTAATCGAGAATTGCTCAGCCATGGCCATTCAAACAGTGTGTATAATACATCCTGCCCTTTGGTGTCCAGTTGATCCATCTCGTCCAACACCAACACACTATATAGAAAGAAAAACAATTAGCATCCATAGTTACTTTCTTAAACCTTCAATCTATTTGATTTGGACTAATTTTATGTCACATTTGTAAAGTTGAGACAAGTTTGAAGACTGTAATTTATGTAAATCTCTAGTCACTCTTAGAATGAAACCCCCAACATCCCAGGATTTTCAAGCAATTAGTTTTAAAAACATTTTTTCCAATTTAAAAAATTAGAACGTGTACTTTTCTTTTTAGGTTTATGTAACTACTTCTTCTTATAGAGCAAACATCGTGAATATTCTTTTGGTAAGCAGTAGATCTTACAGATTTTCACTGAGCAATATAGAAATACTTACATCATGGGGCCCTTCTCTGTAGTCATATGTTTTTCCAGTTTCTTCATCATGTCCTTCCCAGATAGCCTGGATACTTCTTTTTGACAAATCTCCTGAGCAATAGCTGGGAATACAGCCTGGGCTTTCCTCAAGGACATGCAATTCAGCATGATAGTTTTAAAGCCTTTTACTTCCTTCTAGAAAAAAACAAACAAACAAAAATAAAAAACTTGGCAGTTATTTTGGCTTCAGATAAAGATTTGATAAAATTTGAACTATCTTGTGAGAGATAATAGTATACAAGAGAGGAACTTCTACTTTCATTTGGAAAGATTTAGACAATAAAACAAAAAAGTCTTATTATTTTCAATCTCCTAAATGTTTGTCTTCCTGAACCCTTAATAACCAAGTATCGGGCTGGGGTTGTGGCTCAGTGGTAGAGCGCTTGTCTAGCATGTGTGAGGCACTGGGTTTGATCCTCAGCACCACATAAAAACAAATAAAATAAAATAAAGGTCCATTGACAACTAAAAAAAAATTTTTTTAATATATATATTTTTTAGTTGTAGTTGGACACAATACCTTTATCTTATTTATTTTTATGTGGTGCTGAGGATTGAAAGGGCCCCACGTGCTGAGCCACAACCCCAGCACCCTAAAAAACATTAATAAATAAATAAATAAAGGTATTGTATCCATCTACAACCACCACCACCACCAACAACAACAACAAAAACCCCAAGTATCATTTTAGCAAGAGCATCAACATTCAGATTCTCAATGTACCTTGAGGTCTTGCAGAATTCGGCTTAAACAGGCAGTTTTTCCAGTTCCAGGAGCACCAGAAAGGTACAGACTTCCAGCTTTTTTCCCACAGATGTGTTCCCTCAGGAAATTCCTGATAACATCCATTTCCTTTTCTCTGGCAGGCAGACGATCTGGGACAGCTGTATTCAGGACAACCTTTGCTTGTCGGTAGCAAGTACCTGCATCAGACAGAAAAAGGACAACTAGACACAACAGAAGGTGACTGAAAAAAACCCACTAAGCTTCATCTGGAGTCATCAGCTTTGTTTATAACAGCTGCACTAACAGCTGTCATTTAAGAACGCACCTTCTTGCTTGAATAATCTCAAAAGTGCAGAGTCTTTCTCCATTGGACATTTCTGTTCAGAATTTGTTATAATCTCCTGATCTTTTTGAACTGAGGGAAGTATTTTATTTTGATGAATTCTGGCTTGTTCTCTTTTGCTAGGAGACTTAACTGTCAGCTGATTGTTGTCAAATACCAATCTCCGTCCCTTAGTTGTATGTGAACGAGGGAGGCTATTCTCTTTCTTGCCTTGCTTTGGTGGAGAACAGGGAGATAAATGGGGAGTGTTGCATAGGTTGTCATCACCTGAAACATTAAAATCAAAACATGGTCACTCACAGCAGTAGATAGTGAAAAGAGAGGAGAAACCACAAAATAAACATCCTTCTCACCTAGAAGCTAATACTGGCCACTAGATGGCGTCGCTGAATCCTATTATTTCATAGAAATCAAATGAGTTCTAATGCAGTAAAATTCTAAAACTGTTCTAAAAAACAGGATTTCTCAACCTTGGCATCATTGACATCTTGGACCAAAGAATCATTTGTTGTGGAGAGAACGTCATGTGTATTATGGGATGCTTCGCAGCACCCCTGGCTTTTACTTATTATGGCAATTGCACCCAGCTCTGATAACCTAATCACACCCCATTAAAAACAAATGCTCTGGGGCTTAAGGTGCACTTGCCAAGTATGTGAGAAGTCCTGGGTGCCAACCAATGTTCTAAAATAAGAAAAGGTCTGAAAATATTAAGAACATGACCCATTTGTTTCTCTTGATTTCACAATATGAAGGCAAATTTCATAATATCATATAACTGCAACATAACTGAAAACAATGACAGAACTAAGTTCAGTATTAGATAACTGAAGACCAGATCTATTAAGTAGTTCAGAAAGTGATCTCAATAAGTGGCTTAACTCTGAAGTTCAGTAAGCACTTAGTAACCATTTTGCTTACCCCAAATCTTTATTTTATTCTGAAAATAAATAAAATTTATAGAGCAGACTCAACTGAACTTAGGAAAGTCTTTTGAAGGACAGGCATCTTACTACTGAGAAAAGAAAGGTTGAGAGCTACTGGTCAAAAAGCTGTACTCATACAAAGGAAAGCTTACCTAGACGTTTTCTAGGGCTGAGAGGCAGACTCTTTACACCAGGAGAAGAGGGTATAGCCTGGACATTTGTTGGTTGTAGTTTAGTGTCACTAGAGTTTTTGGTTTTGTTCAAAGCCTGAGATAGCTTCTTTTTGGGAAAATTGATTGTAGCCTGTGCCTGGGATCTGGTTTGAGGCATGATGGCAACACAGCAGGATTCAAAAAAGAACAGAGCAGCCTGTAAATGTGTTAAAGAGAATAGAAAATAACTAACATGGAATTTTATTTATACTTATGATCAACATTCATTTCATAAGTAAATTATGTTATAATATTTTAGCATTCTGCTTCACACTCAAATCTATGCAATAACAGCTAACAGTGTTGCCTACCTAATATGTGTAAAAGGTTCTTATAAGCATTTTCTCATATTAACTCATTTAAGTTTTACAACTACCTAAGAGGTAGGTACAATTATTATATCCATCTAACAAATGAGACAAATGAGATGCACAGAGGCCCCAAATCACAGGAAAACAGGGATTAACTAATCCCAAGCATTCTGGCACCAGCCCATTTTCTTATTCGCTACAGCGACCCAATAAGTTTATTTTCATTTACAGTACTTCTAATCTCCTCACTCCAGGCATGCGGGGCATCTTCATCTGAGCCCATAACCGCCACCCTGACAGTCCTGTGCCCTGACAGCACAGCTCGGTCTTCACTCCGCTCTTAGACTCGGTAGTCCTAACTCCACACAGTCCTCAATTCTGGAACATTTCCTTCCTACAGTTTTCAGTTCCTTACATCACGCAGCACTGCCAGAACCTTTCCACCATTCCGAGGGCCCACATCCCTCTTCCTAGGGACGCCGACCTCAGACTTGCTGCGATCTCAGATCTCAACTTTACCTGGGGCCGCGTGGGAGCCCGCAGCCCTCTCCCAACCCGCTGGCTCCCAGACCCCAGGCATCACCGGGAAATCCTCTCCTTTCCACCCCTCAGGGATGCGTCACCTCAGTGCAGGTTCCTTTTCGCGTCTCACACGGCCTCAGGGACTCTCTACCACAAGCTCCCCCAAATTACACACCAGCAGTAGAAAAGTCAGCTCGCGCCAAATCCGCACAGTCGCAGCATTCCCGCTTCGCGCTAAAGCCCAGCCACGCTTCCCATTGGCTGACACCGCCGCGCCATGAGCCTTGGCCACCACCCCTTCCTTCGTGTCCAATCCAGCTGGAAAGCCTACAGCCAATAAGACGGCCCCAGGTCTCAGAGCCAACGCGAGACCACACCCATTGCCGGAGAGGGCATGTGCATCCGGGGCTTCCGCGGAAAGGCGCGCGGTGGCGGCGGATGCGGTTCTAGTTAGCCCGCCAAGCCGCAAAGCCGGGCGGGGAATGTAGTCTTTGTCCCATGAGACTCTATTTCCGCGTTCTTCTTTGGACTACAGGTTTCAATATGTCATTGTCCTTCTCACTGCCAGACGTATCCATTTTCATTATCCCAATGTGTTAGATTTTCAGGGTAACAATACATAATACCTACCATTTTGGGGGCGGTTCTGTATGCCAGGAATGATGCTAGCATTTTAGTTACCTCTAATTCAGTTCTGCAAGGCATGAAGTAAAGGAGTGCACAGGATTAGAGGCCACACTATCTTAGGGGCAATGAAGAGCCTTGGACTCTGATGTCCTGGCACCTAAACTGGTATTTTTTTGGTAAAGTTTTTTACGTGGCTTCAACACGGTATCTTTTGTGCTTCACAAGTGAGAAGTAGTTATCCCAGCGCTTTACTTCTGTTCAGGATAAGAATATTATACCCTGTGCACCTTCTTATCATTAATCCACACATGTGGGGAATGGAATTATGTCCTCTTAATATTAAAATCTTCTGTGGCCAAATCCTGGGGTTTCAGGGCAAGGAAAGACAGTTATAGACGAGGCAAGTTGAGCATTTAATGAACAATATAAACTAGAGCAGTAATTTGAAGGTCAGCTTACAAAGCTAATAAATAACCCATCTAAGCCTCAGGTTCCTTTAAAGGCCAGAACCCAATTCTAAGTGATGATAAACATTTATCTTTTACCCTTCAATATCAAATAGAGCCTTTTTATAAAGCTGAGAAATAGGAACACAACAATATGATTGTTAGTTAATTGTTAACTTAGTTCATATAGATGAGTCAATACAGAAAGCTTAAGTATATGCTAGGGACTGAACTTGGTATTTTACCAACTATCAGCTTATTAATCTTCACAAGCATCCACAGAGTTGGTATTTCCATTCTATAAATGGGGAAACCAAGATATAGAAGGGATTGCATAAGCCTGTCCAATGTCACACAACTACCAAGTGGAAGAGCCAGAATTTGTACTGACAGGAAATCAAATTCTTGACCACTTAGTCATAGGGGTGAGGTTAAACAGATGCAGGTTCTAAATAGGAAGAGATGGTGAAGGAGCTTTCTAGCAGCTAAAAACTACAAAACACAGGCTTCCATGAATGGAAAAAGAGTAACTAGAATGCTTTCTGATCAGATGGTATTTCTGTCCTAACAGAATAACAGAACCCAGGATGCACCTTCACTATTCATATTTTTATAACCTGGGCATCTAAAACTTGCCATTAATAATTGCCAGTCTTGAGAGATTTGGGTAAACAACTACATTCACAGTGGGAGGGAGCAGAACTTAAGTACTTAAAGTGCATATTGGAGCTGATGAAACCACCAGAAAATAACAGCATTGGCCAAAGAAAAGTGACTTGACCCTAGTGGAAGCAGACAAGAGTGTCACAGAATGTCAGGACTGAAGTTTCTAAAAGATTATCTACTTGAAGTTCTCTCTTTTCACTAGTAATGAACCTCCACTAACATTATGCACACAACCATCAATGTCAATCGCTTCTCTTTCTTCTTGCTGTTCCCACTGTCTGGAATGCAACTCACCATCCTTCTGTGCTAAATTCCATGAAGACTTTTAATACACTTTAGAAGTTTCTCAGCTGCCTTTAAGTCTTTTACTAGACTGTAGGATCCTTGGAGGCCAAGACCATGCTTTATTCATCATCATTGTAGTTGTCTGGTACAGTGAAGTACACAATAAATGTTTGCCAAATGAAGAAATGAAAAGGACATTCTTGCCAAGATATCCACTCTTTGTGTGAAAATTTTTTGTGTGTGGTTGAACAGCATATTTGTAGTCCTCTAAATATCACACCCCAGCTGGGCACAGTGGCATACATCTGTAATCCCAGCAACTATGGAAGTTGAGACAGGAGGATCCCAAGTTCAAGGTCAGTCTCAGCAACTTTGTGAGACCCTAAGCAATTTAGCAAGACCCTATTTCAAAATTTAAAAAAACAAATAAATAAATAAAAATTAAAAAGGGCTGGAGAAGTAGCTCAGTGGTAAAATGCTCCTGGGTTCAATCCTCAGTACCAGTAAATCAATCTCATATCCCTAAATCTAGGAGTGAAAAAGAAATTCAATTATGTGTAAAAGCAACCCAGACTGGGCTTCAGCGATGTCAAAGGTGATGCCCTTCTCCAAGTTATCTTCTGGGCCTCTTCAGGATCCTGAGGTTAATATTTCAGTTCTCTTACTTCTGTCTGCAAAGTAGGAATCAGAGATAGGCAACTTCCTTCCAGTGAGCTAGTTCATGGCTAGACTGGGTCAGGAAATACTCAAGAGGCACATTCAAGGCAAGCAGCTCTGCCTTGGTAGTAATTAGAGTGAACAAACTGGTGTGCTTATCACTTCACTCATACACAGTATCATGGAGGAGGAAACAAAGTGCACTGGAAGGACTTGTCTAGCATCTGCATACAAGCAATACCACCCAGTGAGGCAAAGAAAGCTTATATGGTTAAGAAGTTGAGAGTCACTTAGGCAAGCTCCATTTGCAGTCAGGAAGAACAATTAAATCAATAAATAGGTAGTTTATTAATCATATTAATAACAATGATGGGTCAAATAATCAGGAATTCAGCCAATCTGGTAAGTATGGATGAAAATGAAATGAGTCTTTTTTTTCCCTCCCTCCCCTCACCCTCCTCATAGGTTTTTATACCTAAATTATGTGAGAGTGATTCATACACACACCCATTATGATTCAGTATAGGAAATGATTTCAAGACCTTTGCTAGTAATGAAAGTTCAAGTTAAGCTCATTAAACCTTAGAGGTTATTATATCAGCTGACCACAGTAAGCAAAAATGTCTGGTTGAATTTTTTTACACCTAAAATCAAAGTTCAAAAAAAAACAAAACAAAACAAAAAAACAAACAAAAAAAAACACCCAGCTAAGATTTCAGCTTGAAAAGCACTGAGGAAAACAACCAACACCCACATAAGAATGTACACATGAACCTAAATGCTCTGCCCCCATCTTTTCTTCCACTGTGAATTTGAGAATCAGACATACAACACAAGTAGAAACAATCATAAGGGATACAAGGAAAGGACATAAGGTCAGGAGGCCTCCTGGGTTCCCTGAAATCATGGGCAAAGAGTGGTTCAGTAGCAAATATATATATATATGTATGTGTATAAATATATATAAAATGACTGTCAGGTTCTCTTAGCACAACTAACTAGAACTGCAATTTCAAAACATGTGGAAGAGGAGAGAAAACTCTCAGGAAACCACAGATGCTGCTTCTGCTTAAGTCAGTACATCTACTTTCTCAAGTGACATGGAATCAAACCATCACACTTAACCAGAATATGAGGCAATAGGTTTTTTTCCCCCCTCTCTATGCCACCACTTGTGATGGTATTCCAGACAAGAGTACACAGTTTTCAGTTTTTGCTTTTAAGCAAGGTTTAATTAAACTGCACAGCATTCAGAAGAAAGAAATGTACCAAAGAATTGAACCTGAGACCAGATTATACATTTTAGGGGGTAAGGGGGAAAAAAAGAATCAGTGCTATTTGGGAGAGGGAGCACTATAATCAGAATATATCTCCAAAATAAATCATACAATAAATTATTTTTTAAAGAAGTGTATCCACATGTAGATGGGATGGTCACATACACACACGCATGCACACACACATCATTCTAGTCTTTTATTCAGTGTTAACTGTGACTTCCATGTTGGTCACTGTGGAAAACGACAAAGGTTAGACATGAGAAAAGAAGGCTAGGCACTCTCTGCCATCAGTGGAATGAGATTTAAGATAATTAGAGAAGGAACCCACCAAGTTGTCACAAATAAGAGTAGAAAGTAGGAAACAGCAGTTATCAAGGAAGATTTTAATTACTTCAGAGGGAAAGGAAGAAAGCACAGAAATCTAACACAAGTAAAGGCACAATGAACGTGGAGTTGAATGGAACCAAACCCTTCTTTCAGTCAGTTATCCCTTTTTCTTTATTTGCATGTGATTTTGAAGGTGGTTATAGTTTTGTTTCATTTTGTTTTTAAGATATAAGTCTTGAAGGCAGAGCTATAATGCTCACCCGCCTTTCCCTCCCATTCCCTAAATTAGGGTGGCTTAACAGAAAGCCCCCATGACTTCATAACTAGGGACTAATATTCAACAGGGAAAGAAAGACTACAACTGGAATGTGAAGAATCTGATTTTGCAGTTGATTGTAGGTTGGGTTTCCAGGACAGTAGTGCCATCAAAGGGCCTCTGATCCCCTATACTCCACCCCCAGAGCTTCACAGAAAGGAAGGACCCTGGAGTAATACTTCTCCCCCACTCCCATAAGCACTCAGCCTACAGATTATTTCAAGTGATCAGGAGAATTAAAACACACCCCAACCCTGAGTTGCTCTGTAGCAAGTCTATTTACATTTTTTTCTCACCTCTTCCTGGAGGTAAATCTGGGTTTCAAGCTGAGAAGCCAAAGGGGTGAGGGGAGTCCCCCAGTGCAATGGCCAGTCTCCTTGCCTTTGCCAGTTAAGAGGCTGGGACAAATTCCTGGAGACAGCAGCCTCATGTCTATCAGCTGGTATAGTCCTAGGCTCTTACTCTGCTGGCGTAGGCTGTGAAAATGGTGGGGCTATGCAGCTGGATCAAATCCCCATGATGAAGAAAACCATACCTGGAATATCAACATGCCTTGGTCCAGGTTTGTTGACCAGAGAGGGGGAAGACAGACATCTAGCTCATTTAAAAACCTGGAGGTCACTGCCCTGCTTCCTAGAAAGGGCAGTAAGAAACAACTATTACGTTTTTCCCACTAAGGAAAAACATCATAAAACCAAGCCCACACAATCACTGTTAACACAGCTTCTCAGATGCTTAGTTGGGCAATGTCTCTTCCCTCCAGGAATGGAGAAGGGAGTTAATGGGGACTGGGCTATAGCCTCAACATGAGACCACCTGATCTTCCACTGAAGAGTTGACATCCCCATGAGCAGATAAAAAGAGCAGTTTTAAAGGTGAGAAGTTTTAGTGCTCTTGCAGCTAGCCCACCTTAAACCTATATTACAAGCTCTGTACAACATACAAAATAGACCAATAATTATGAGGATCACATTCCCATCTTCAATAGCAAATATACATGATAATAAATCTGTTATTAACAGTGGGAAGAAATAATGTATAAGGCAAAGATATTTAAATAGGTGCTGTGTCATTAACATGTTCCAAAGGAGAAAAGCCATTTGATTAGATCTAGACCCAGGCCTTTTTGTTTTTCATGAGGCCAAGACAGTTAAAGTACAATCAATACCCATGTGACACAGTCCAAATGCTGAGGAATATGAGTAGTAGCAGGTCATGGGGAGGAAGACATCAGCCCCAATGAAAAGCTGAGGTTTGGTTTTATTTGTGATTCTTATTTTGATGCTCTATGTATGTTTGAATAAAGGAAAAAGAAAAACACACTCTGATAAACACTGTACAAAAGGCATCAACTCCCATTTCAAAAATAAATGGGAAGACTTCACAGTCAAAGTTCAGTAACTTGTCAGCATCTACCCTGGAACTCTGCTGCAGTAACAACTCTTGTACTCTCCTCTCTCTCAGCTCTAGTCACTTCAGGATGCTGGGGAAATGTCTGGGAAGTAACTGCTAACAGATTTTAAAAAAAGCATGATAAATAATAATTGAAAAAGTCTGGTGACAGACCTAATCATGAGAGTCTATATCCAGAGTTAATGTGGTCTAAGGGATGGCAAAGGACAAAGAGACTCCAAACAGATAACCCAAGTTGAGCCCTCCTTCATCTACCATTGAGAAGATTTGGGTTTCACCTGACATCATGCTCAGATCCTTAGTTTATGATCTGATCTAATGGATTAGAAAGGTCCCTGCAGCATTTCAAGCCTGTGATGTTTCAGAAGAGGGTTTTAAATAGTTTTCCCCCTTCATTTCAAAAACAGCCTGGTCTCCCTGCTCTCATGCCAAGTTTTGAGTAGCCTCTATATATGGCAACAGCTGTAGCAAACCAAACCATCTGGTGTGTGAAGCCCAGGAGCCCCAACCTGTTGTTGGAGAAGGGAAAGTCACTGTCCCATCATCCAACCTCAGTTGGTCCCTCCATTTTCTCTGTGCTCTTTTAATTAAGGCCTGGAAGACAAAGAAACAACATATTGCTGGCTACCAAGGAAGACCTATCAGACTGAAGCAACTTCACACCAAAGTCTTTTGTGCTTCTTGGCATAAAGGAATTTTGAGTATCTCCACAAACTTCTACTCACTTCCTCACCCCTTAACTCTGCTGCATTAGCCCCTGAAATCTTGGGAAGGTGAGGCTGATAAAGAAAGGAATGGAAAGAGCTTTCTCAGTCAGATGGGCTGTGAACTTCAGCATGAGCAGGCCATAAAGTCTTTTGCAGAGTGTTTTGCCCTTCCCTTCTTAAGTCATTCTGGAACATGAAGGACTCAAAGGGCTAGGGTCAGTAAGACAAGACTGAGGCAGACTTGAAGTTAAGGCCCAGACCCTGTCTTCCTATTTCCTACCAGCAGTTTTTGGGATTTGTGAATCAGGAATGAATGATGCCCCTGACAAAAAGGAATTTTTCTTTTGAGGAGATGGGGCAGAACACCCTTCAGCCTAGCACCCTGAGGAAAGGGGGCAGGAAGTCCTAGAGGACTCAAATGGCTCCTAGTTCCTTAGTTACAGAAGAACTGAATAGCTCTAAAATGATCCTCGGTTTTTTTCGCCCTCTCATTTGATTAAAGTTTTAGTTCAACTAATTAGTATTTAGTGTTTATATCCAACTTAGCCCTGGGATTGGGTGGTGGGCAGTGAGAACAAAACTGAAATACCCCTAAAAATAAAGAAGACCCATTTCCTTGTCCTTTCTCCAAAGCTGACCTTTAAAACAGATCAATTCTCTGCAAACTCCTTTACTGCTTCACTAAAAATGCCCCCTCCCTTCCCACCAAAGTTCTGGCCGTGCCAGCCTCCAAAATGATGGAATATAATCTACCTGCCAAGCTCCCCCTACAGTGGATAAGGGCAGATAAGGGTACCAAATCTCCACCCTGCCCAACAATGAGTTCATTCACCACAACAAGGCACCTTTCCCCAGAGGAGAGCAGGAGACATGGAGGCTTTCTCCTCTTCTGGCCAGCAGGGTTTGTTAGAGTAGGGATGGATACAGAGTTTGAGACCCTACTGCCGACGCAAAGAGTCCAATCACCAAGTCCAGAGATGAGATGCATAGATGGAGGTGAGCTGGAAGGATGCTTGGAGTCTAGGATTGTTTGCACAGGAGAAACATGTTAGGAGCTCTCATGCAGGTTTCAGGGGAATGGAGAGGACCATCTGACAAAAAAAGGAGGTCCATCCTTTTTCCTGAGGAACAGGACCAAGCCAGACTTCACCTGAGAATGGGTGGCAGAGGTGGGGCTCCACGGGCAGCTGAAAAAATAAAACAAAAAGGCTTTTTAAGCTAATTTTTAAAATCTGGGGACTAGATTGTCTTCTTGTTTTGCTTTGTTTCTTTTAAAGAAAATGAAGATGAGGAGAAGCAGATTTTGACTTAAGAAAACACAAAAATTCTATATTGTATGCAATTATGGAAACACTTTCTTTACTACTTCTCTTACCTCGGTTTGTTTTGCTGGGATATATTCTCTGAAAATGTTTATATTCTTCTGGAGCAGGAAAATCTTCTACTGGGTGAAAAGAATACTTTGATTCAAAATCATCTGCGAAAAGAACAGAGTATTACCTCATATTGAACTTCTCTTGCTCCACTGACCTCTGTCTTATGAGGCCCCCTTACTAATCTTTAAATGCACTCTGACATATGGAGGGCCTGCCTTGCCCATCTAACCAAGGTTCTTAAAGACAGCAACAGCAGCACCCGAGGTGGCTCCCATGCACAAACTTGGTTATTTTAAGGAGTAAGTCTTTGAGCTGATTCTTCAAAATTTCCCATCAAAAATCAGGCAAGAGGGCTGGGGATGTGGCTCAAGCGGTAGTGCGCTTGCCTGGCATGCGTGCGGCCCAGATTCGATCCTCAGCACCACATACAAACAAAGATGTTGTGTTCGCCGAAAACTAAAAAATAAATATAAAAAAAAAATTCTCTCTCTCTCTAAAAAAAAAAAAAAAATCAGGCAAAAACAGGAAACTGCTTCCAACTGTTTGCATGGAAGCAGAAAGAAACAAGAATTCCAAGATTCAATAACATGGTCATTTTATAGATTGTCACCATGGGAAACTACCTGAATTGAATCCACAAATTACAGAATTAACCTCAAATGGTAATATTTTTCTGTAGCTTCTGAGAGATTTGACCACATAGTTCCCTTTCAGCCTAGGTTACCCTCATTTAGTTCTGCAACATACTTGAGACAGCCACCTCCTTGGTCCCACTACCACTTTCTATGGCCCTCCACAAGAAGGCTCAAATTTCCTATAGGTGCAGTTTAATCACATTACAAAGATTTCTTCATTATGGATGTGTGTTCAAAGCAAACACCTGATGCATTTAGTAGGAACAGACTGAAACATGGGGGATGTGGGCAGAAGGGAAGAAAACAACCACCAAGGAATCCAGAGTGCTAGAGCTACAATAGAGCTTACATAAGCTCTATTCCAGGGGTCCTCCACAGTGGATAAATAATATTCTCTGGACCACATTTTCTATGGCTCCATTCCACAACCAGAATCTTTTAGGTAGGACGTCCCAATACTTATAAACTTGGAAAAGTTAATCTGGTGATTTCCTGATCTAATCAATCTCCTTGCTATACGCTTCTCCGATCTGGTGTCCTGCTACGTGAAGTGACTTCCTCAAAATGACACAGCTAGTCAGTCGGTGATCTCTGCTGATTAGATAAGAGTTGTGTGATGTTTTGTTTGTTTGTTTGTTGTTTGTTTCAATACTGGGGATCAAAACAGGGCCTTGGCATACCAAGCTTGTTTTGTTTAGTTTTGGGGTACTGGGGATTGAACCCAGGACCCTGCACGTGCTAAGGAAGCACCACCACTGAGATATACCCCAAGCCCACTTGTTTAGTTTTTACACAGCTAAAAGGAGCTTTTCCTAGGATATATAATTCTTGTCTGAACAGTCTTAAAGAGGAACAGCCTCTGCCATGAAAACTAACCATAAGTAATGATCCTTGGGGGGACTTGAGAGGAGCTTTAGAGTTAGCATGACACCTGCTGATTATATTTCAACCTATTCCAAAGCAACCATGCCTAGAATTCACATAAGAAAAGGTATGTCAATGGATGGGGCATGAAAGTTTGAGGGTATGTGCCTAATAGAAGAAAAAGTAGGTCCCAATCTCCACCGTGTCAGTTTAGGAACTGACTTCCTTAACAAGACTCCAAAAATGCAAGAAGTAAAATCAAGAATCAATAAACAGGATGGAATAAAACTAAACAACTGCTTCACAGCAACGGAAAAAACCAAAAATGTGAAGACAGACCCTATAGAATGGGAAAAAATCTTTACTACACACACCTCCATATAGTATTAACCTCCAGGATACATAAAGAACTCAAAAAACTCAACACCAAAAAAAAAACCCCCAAATAACCCAATCAATAAATAGGTAAAGAAACTGAACAGACACTTCAAAGAAGAAGAAATACAATCGATCAACAAGTATAAGAAAAAATGTTCAACATCTCTAGAAATTAGAGAAATGAAAATCAAAAACTACACTTCCATCTTTTTTTTTAAAATATTTTTTTAGTTGTTGATGGACCTTTTTTATTTTTTTAAAAATTTATTTGTAGGGCTGGGGATGTGGCTCAAGCGGTAGTGCGCTCGCCTGGCATGCGTGCGACCCGGGTTCGATCCTCAGCACCACATACCAACAAAGATGTTGTGTCCGCCGAGAACTAAAAAAATAAATATTAAAAATTCTCTCTCTCTCTCTCTTAAAAAAAAAATAAATTTATTTGTATGTGGTGCTGAGAATCGAACCCAGTGCCTCCATGCATGCTAGTCAAGCATTCTGCCACTGAGCCACAACCCCAGCTCCTACACTTCCATCTTATTCCAGTCAGAATGGCAATCATCAAGAATATAAGCAACAAGGGCTGGGATTGTGACACAGCGGTAGCACATTTGCCTGGCATGTGTGAGGCACTGGGTTCAATTTTCAGCACCACATATAAATAAATAAAAAAAAGATCTATCAACAATTAAGAAAAAACAATTTAAAAAAAAGAATACAAGCACAATTAATGTTGTCGAGGATGTAGGAGAAAAGATACACTCATATATTGCTGGTAAGACTGCAAATTGGTATAACCATTATGGAAAGTAATATAGAGGAGATTCCCCAGAAAACTTGGAATGGAACCACCATTTGACTCAGTCATCTTACTCCTAGGTTTATACGCAAAGGACTTAAAATCAACATTCTACAGTAACACAGCTCTATCAGTGTTTACAGCAGATCAATTCACAATAGCTAAACTATGGAACCAACAAAGTGCACTTCAACATATGAATGGATAAAGAAACTGTGGTATATATATACAATGGAATATTACTCAGCTTTAAAGAAGAATAAAACTATGGCATTTGCCAGTAAATGGATGGAACTGGTGAATATTATGCTAAGCAAAATAAGCCAACCCCAAAGTACCAAAGGCCGAATGTTTTCTCTGATATGTGGATGCTAATTCACAATGGAGATGGAAATAGAGGTATTTTGGACTAGACAGAGGGGAGAGAAGGGAGGGGAGGGGGTGAAGGTAGGAGTGATAGTAGAATGAATTGGACATTATTACCCTATGTGCATATATGATTACATGACCTCTGTAACTCTACATCATGTACAACTAGATGGATGAGAAGTTATACTCCATTTATGTATGATGTGTCAAAATGCATTCTACTGTCATGTATAACAAGTAGAATTAAAAAAATTTAAAAAAAGATTTAGACATTAATAAAAATGATTGAGACTAAATGTCAGAAAGGAACTGCTGTAAACAAAGATTATCTTGTGGCCATTCCCATTCCACACTAGCCATCTGACAGCCAAGACACTGCAGTCAGTGAAGTAACCACAGGAACTCTGAGGCAAAACAACTAACTACTTACCCAAGAAAGATCGAACAGTGGTGATAGAATCTCTGTGGCCATTCCTCAGGGGTGGTGGAGGAGGGGGTGGCCCAGCTGGCGTCCTTGAGGGTGGAGGTGGGGGTTTTCCTCTATTCAGGGGTTCTGATCCATGCATTCGGTATGGGGGTGGGGGTGGAGGAGCATCCCTGGCACCATTTCTGATCATAGGGGGCGGAGGTGGAGGAGCTGCAATTAAAATTCAAAGTAGTTAGGTTTGAGTGTTGAGCTGGCAAGGGGAAGGAGGATTTGAGAGACACAGCAAAAAGTGTCTTAGTGCTTTCCTGAATAACTGGGTGCTATAAGCCTCTCAGTAGCATGTTAGATATCATATTCACTTTCCCCCTCATGCTTATTTCTTGAATAGCACTGTCACTTTTCCAGATATCAAAGTTTCAGACCTTTTTTAGTTTCCACAAATGAGTCAAGAATCCTATCTATTCTTGATGTCTTTCCCCTAGCTTTTCCATCCCTTCCTCCACAATTCTAATTCAGATCATCTCACATTTAGCCTGTTCTGCAAAAGCCTTCCAAGTAGACTTCCAAGTATTCTTGCATCCAATCTCTTACGGCTCAAATTTAACTCCCTAAAATACTTGCTTCAATCTTTTCAAGGCTTTTGCATCTTGTACAAAAGAAAGTTTCAAGCCCTTTGCTTAAATAGTAAACTACATCAGTAAGCCTGATCTCTTCTTTTCCTCCCTTCCTCCCTCTTTCCCTTCTTCCTCTTTTCTTTAGAAAAGAATCCAGCAGAGCTTTACTACTGAGCCACATCCCCAGCCCTTTATTTTTTATTTTGAATCAGGGTCTCACAAAGTTGCTGAGAGTCTTGGTAAACTGCTGAGGCTGGCCTTGAACTTGCAATCCCCTGCCTCAGCTTCCCAAGTCTCTAGTATTATAGGAGAGCACCACCATGCCCAGCTCTTCTTTCTTAATTTCTACACTGGGTCAGGTGCCCCTCTTCTGCACTACACAGTGTATCCATACCACTCTACTATACTGCATTATAACTATTCATTATATGGGCTTCTTCCCTAGTATACTATGTACTCCCTAATGTCTGAATAGTTCCTTCTTCTGTGCAAATGTACAGCACATGGGAAGTATTCCATGTCTAATGAATAAACTGAATCCCTGTTTTGTTCTTATGGCTCTCCCTGCAATACTCTGAAATCCTCTTCCCTTAATACCAAGTTGTATCTTTTTTTTTTTTTAATTTGTTTTAGTTGTAGTTGGACACAATACCTTTATTTTATTTATTTTTTATGTGGTGCTGAGGATTGAACTCAGTGCCTCACACGTGTTAGGCAAGCACTCTACCATTGAGCTATAACCTCAACCCCCAAATCCTATCTATCTTTCAGGGTTCAATTCAAGTCCTATCTTCTCAAGGCTTTCTTCAAAGCAATCTACTCTATTTTGAGCTTCTCCTTTTTTTGGTATCTTACAGCATATATTCCAAAACTTTACAGTACAGACTAAATTGAGTGTTTTTCAGAATATATATAGTAGATTCACCTTGGGAAGTTACATATATACAGTGTTTTTCTCATTGCTCAAAAAATTTGGGAACACCTCTTTTGGAAGTGCTTCCAAAGCCAGTTTATCAGAGCCATGGATATTATTATGGGAAGTCACATTGCACTTCTGAGGTTGTCACATCACCATCAACAACAAAAACATTTGGCTGGATATAGTGGTGCATATCCTTAATCTCAAGCAACTCAAAAGAGTCGGAGGCAGGAGGCTCCCCAAATTCAAGGCCAGCCCGGGTAACTTATCAAGACCCTGTCTCAAAATAAAAATAAAAAAGATTGGGGATACACATATTATAATCAGTCACTACATTTCTAGGGTCAATTCCACAGAAATAAAAGTGTCACTGTGAAAGCTTAAAAAAAAAGGCAGGGGAGCTAGGTGCAGTGGTGCATGCCTATAATCCCAGCGGCTCGGGAGGCTGAGACAGAAGGATTTTGAGTTCAGAGCCAGCCTCAGCAACTTAGCAAGGCACTAAGCAACTCAATGAGACCCTAGCTCTAAATAAAATACAAAATAGGGCTGGGGATGTGGCTCAGTGGAAATGCCCCTGAGTTCAATCCCAGTACCCATAAAAAGGTGGGGGGGTTAGGCAGGGGGTTTAGGTGGAATGCTCCTAGGTTCAAACCTCATACCAAAAAAAGGAAAAAAAACCAAAATGTGTACCCATCTCTGACTCTGCTTCTTGGCCATTTACAAAAATCAAATTTATCTTTATTTTTTTTTGAAAGAGAGAGAGAGAGAAAGAGAGAGAGAGAGAGAGAGAGAGAGAGAGAGAGAGAGAGA